GATCCGATCGAACCTGACTGTTGACGGTAATAGATTAGATCTAGATGGTTCATAGGTCTGTCTGTACCACACAGTCGATTGCGTGCATGGCGTATCCCTTTTTCACCGAATTCATTGGCTCTACACTACGTATTGATCAAATCTGATTTAGCCAGTGATGTATCTCTGACGTATACATGATAATAAGCTTAAGGGAAAGAATCATTAAAACTGGGTGCATCATAGTCGTCACTATAAAACAATCACAACCCGCAAGTGTTACAGTTCTTAACAGCCGATTTCTTCTCGTATCGGCTATTTAGTCGATTTTCCCGTCTGGCTGCTCCCGAAGCGGCACACTTGGAACTGTCTGGACAAAACCGGCATGTTCCACCTTAAATTACTGATAAACTTTCTCTCCTTGTCAATTGCAGGTCAAATTGACTGGCACGCCTTCGGGAATTCATAGGGTCAACTGGTTCTGCGTTGAAGCCAAGCGGATCTCTAGGCTCATCCTAAGCAGATCCTTCTGGCTTGTTGTGTGCCAGGTGCATTGACATATTTTTGCGCCGACATATAACCATCCACCCATCTTGTAGTCGTGTTCTCGCACATATGCCGTCAAACATGAACAAGCCATATAACCCAATCCGATGGAAATTTATCAGTCGCTCTTGATAAAATAATTTCATTGGCTCAAAATTTTATTGGACAACTTTAATCCCATAGGCTATATATCTAGGCTTGGAGATGTTGGAAGTGAGGGAATAACAGACAACAGAGAAGAAGTAACCGATGAGAGAGCATAAGTCCAATTCGCTTTCCTAATCCCCCCTTACTTCGTTTGGCCTTACATGGTTGATACCGATATCTGACATCTGTATAGAGCTTTCCGGCCAAACAATTATTTCCCATCTGACTTTTTATATTTCCAACTGCAAAAAGAAATCACATATATTTGCCCAGACTCCTCCATCCATGAGTTGGGTAAAGACATGACTCCTGTTACGTGTTGTTCATCTAGCATGTCCCTTGTTTGCTTTCTCTTATCATGTGTACAAGTGTCTTCATTCACCAAGCAAGTCATATGTGATGCACTGGATTCTGGTGATGTATTCTCTCGAATCCAACTGAATAAAAGGCTCCATCAGCTTGCATTGATGTCTTGATCCGTTGGCATCAGCTTGCATTTTGATCTAAAAATATTGTATCGAGCCGATCCCTTTCTTGAAAAGTCGATTCCGCTCTCCAATAGCCGATTCCTATATCTTTACAACATTCATTGAGACTTACCGGTTGTCTGCAAGGCGACGTGACTATCGGCTACTCATTGTTGTACGATCGTTGGTCTGCTTCGTCAACAAATCCAACTCCTTGGAATCAGATTTGCACACGTAGCGTGTATCCTGCATGTCTTCAGCAGATGCATTAACTCCTTGGGACCAGTAGACGCACTGACACACCCTGGATTACTTGCTTGATCTTCATATTGTAACCGCATTGAACGCTCCTTCTTGAAACATGACGATCTACACGGTGGAGTAATGACACGTACTAGTAGACACGAAGCCTACAACGGTACGCCCTGTTCTTTCTGTAGTTTCTTCCATACGTGAATTCTAGCAGCATGCGTCCAAGTAGAGTTTATCACTTTTTAATGCTCAGAATCCATATCTCTGACTTCTGATCAAACGATCGTGGTCCCACCAGGCATGCCAAAACGTGTGTTGGCGCAAAAATGTGGCAATGTGATCAACACACAATAAGCCAGATGATCTTGACAGAGTGAATCCGAAGATCTGCTTAGCTTCAACACAAGAACGGACAGTTTTGGGACCAAAGGCGTGCCATTCAATTTGACCCTACAATTGACAAGGAGAGAATAATCAGTAGTTTAAGGTGGAACATGTCGACATTGCACCAAACAATTCCAATATGTGGCCAGATAGCCGATTCAATGAGGCTATCGACTAAAGAGTCGATATCCAACGTATCTATGACATGAAGCTCCTTAAATCAAGGATTATCGGCTAATATTAAATGGCAATGATATGAACCCAAATAACCGATGCTCATGGAACATCAGAAAGTATCATCGGTTAAATGGAACATGATTGATATAAAGCGTCAAGCCGATGAGTTTAATGAAAAGTGTATAACATGCGAACAAATCGACTATCTAATATAAATGATTTTACAAACAGTTTTGAGTATAATCTATTATCATCAATAGTGAGGTTCGATCGGATCGATGCAGCTATGATAATGATAATAAACTAAAGCCAAAGAATCTATAAAACCATCTATATATTGACAGATTCATGAAAAACATGCTATATGCGTGAGAGTATAGGCAAATCGGCTAAAATAGCCGATGCAGTCGTAACAAACAAACAGAGTACATATCTCGATCATAAACAAGACCACTAATCGATAATTTCTAATCTAAAGTCTTACCAGTGAGGTTCGACCAGATCGATGCAGCTATGGTAGTGTCATTAGATTAGATCTCATTAACTAGTGAGTTTATTCAAGATTGAAACATGTCTTTAGATGCATACTATGTTTGACTGGAATAGAGATAAAACAGCCGATCTAGCAGAATTAAGCCATCGATTATAAGATTTGAAGCATGACCAGATCAGAGGACGACCAATTAAGATGATATGATGTTGATCTATCTCTATCTCAATCGGATTATTTTGTTATAATTAATAAAATATTAATTATAGCAAAATCGATAACAGGTGAATCAACAAAAAAACAGCAAGAAAAGTCTTACTAATCTTAGCAGATTCGATAACTGGTAATATTGTATTAAACACCAAGTTATTTTACACAAAATCGATAACTTTGATCTATATCATGATTCATAAGAGATCAATCAGCTGATGCAGCCTTACAAACTAAGATACAGATCGATAACTAACTTATATTATGGCTCATAAAAGATCAATCAGCTGATGCAGTTTTACAAGCATAATACAAGTCGTGACGGTACTCACAAGCAAGCTGGAGGTCGATCAGTCGATGCAGCCCTGTTTGCTGAAGAACTCGTCGAAAAGCTACATTACTCCTACTCCTAAGGGTTGACGTGAAGCCGAAAAAATAAAGACTGATTTTGATTGATGTGTGGATATCTGATTACAATAGCCGGGGTTTATATTTATACCCTGAGGCTTGAAACAATCCTAGTTGATCACGTAGTGATCTAGTACAAAACTTGCCTAACAAGATAAATAAAAAAAAGGAAATTTTAAGATACATGAACTCCAGTTTTTTCTTTTGTAGAATCCGCTAATTAAGCTTCCTTGTGTCTTTCTTATCTTCATGTGAGGAGACTTTGGACAGCATGCTTGTTCTAAAATATAATATTTTCTGGCCGGTCAAATTTGGGTGTAAACGACTAGCCTACGCAGCCATCATGCATGGCCGAAGGGTGGATGAAGGTACGTGCTTGGTCCAACAAGTGATCTAGGTCGCGGCCTTTGTCCGTCGTCGTTGTCGTCCCGTATACAAGATGCATGCATGGTCCAAGATTAGCTCAGACAGGATGGCGACGACGTCTTCTTAAGACGTGGGTTGCATTGCAAAAATTCAGCACCGATGGGAGGCGAGTCCTGGTCATACGTACTTCCATCGTCACCTCGGTGCCGGCGTGCTCACCGTCAAGGCATTCAACGCTAGCAAAATCTATCTTGGATCTCCTCTGATCCACTGCATGCAGGTACGTACCTTTTTAACTCATGGCTATGTTTACGGTTCTATAATGTTTATATTTTTTTTATTCAGAGAAATTCTTTGGTTGCACACAACTCATAAGTTTTTTCTTACTCCGAAATCTGGTTGATCTACTTTTGGCTGCACCAGCAAAAACAAAGCATGCAGCAGTGTATATGCACCGGTTACGGTTCCTAGCCCAATAATTATCTTGGACCACGCACATGTATGAGTTAATATATTGATATCGTATTAGTGTGGTGGACTAATCATCATCATACTATGGCCAAGTTTGCATTGGGACTGTAGTCTACGGTGCGGCGACTCCATGACCGCGTTACCAGAAATCAACGGTGTAGACATCAGCCCCCACCTAGACTGGTGTGACTCATTAATATAATTTTGTAAACTTCTTTAACATTTTATTGATCAAATAAGTAATTAGCTATAATATTTTATATTTAAAAAACTGTTGATGATATATATACGAATTGACATATCGAGAATTCAATTAATATTCTCATTGCATTTAAATAGATTTTCATACACACGTGCGTGTCGCGCGTGCATATTTGCTAGTTTCTAGAAAAATTTCAGAAAAAGTGCGATCACCAGGGTTTAAAGGGTAGTGTCCACTGGACAGCTCTACTACTAGACCACGGACCTATTCGCAATGGATTGGTTAATATAGACATTGCTTCAATTCCATCAATTGCGTGTTGCAGCAGTGAGAACTTATTTAACTCACCCAATCGTCATTCGCTGGACATATACAGCCTGTTCGGTTGGCTAGTTCGTATCGTTGCTGGTTCGTTTATGTGAGAGAGAAGTACTGCTGGCTGGTTCATGTGAATAGTATCCATGTGAGGGGGCTGGCCAGCCCAGCCAGCCAGCCAGCCCCAAATTTAACACGCCGATAAAGTTGTAGTTCAGGATGGAGGGAGTATAAAAGATGAGGCCAGGACAACCTGCCATAGTTCAGCTCAGAAACACAATATAAGAATTGGCTTCTCAGACCCCTCCTGTTCCCTAAAATAAATATAAGAATTGGCTAAAAAAACATGCTTTCTGTTTCCATCATCCTCAATAAAAAGATGTTGCACTGTTATGAACAATCCTGGCAAAACCAAATTGAAAGAATAATGCCCAAGGGGCTAATCCAGTCAAAATACAAGATTTTTAAAATGCTACCAAAAATGCCGCTCAAAAAAAAACTCTCATCTAAAATTATTATCTAACTGGGGAAAAAAGAATTGACACAAACTGAAACCTATGGTCCAGCAAGATCGGAACCTAGCTAGCTAGGAATGTGTAGGGTGATCATCGCCGTTTCGATCGCCATGGCCATGGCCATGCTGTGTTGACAGATAATCGTCGCCATGGCCGCCACTGCCGCTAGTAGACGCCTTTGCAAATCTGCCTTTGACTCGGTTTCGTGTGTCTGCTCGTGCCTTCCGGGATACATACATGATCTGCTTGCCAAACCTGCAAATGCAAAAATCACAAAGGCTCTGTGTTACACACAAACATTTCATATAGACCGAACTACAAATTTTATCTAGTGGAACAACCAAGATATACCGTGGAACAGTAACAAATTGATTGCTAGAATTGTCAAAATTGACACCACATTATGACAATGCATTTTTCAGTACTAGAACAACCAAATCATAAGACAGAATAATGAATTCGGAACCAATACAAAACATGCCTCATGACAATTCAAAAGTACCAAAACATATAGTGCATATTTCGCAGAAAAAAATGGGAGAATAGTGGACCATTTTGCATTGGGTAGTTAATTAAGTATAGGGTCATTAAGATCTGATTGTAAGAAACATAGATAAATCATAGAAAATTGTAAAATAAAAGGATGATGGAAAGTCATATATAGAGAGAGGCATTTTTTGTATCATTTTAAAAATCTTGCATTTTGACTGGATTAGCCCCTTGGGCAATATTCTTTCAATTTGGTTTTGCCAGGATTGTAAATAAAAGTGCTACATCTTTTTATTGAGGATGATGGAAACAGAAAGCATGTGATTTTTTCCTATAGACAAGTCATATATAGAGGCATTATATTATATTCTTAGCAGTTTTATTTTCATTTCATAGCCATGTTTCCATTTATATATAGAAAAACTTCACCATCTTGAGGATCGGAGTAGACTGAGTATGATAAATCGATCGATGAACGTAACTGAGCTGAGAGTAATAATTAATTATATTAATGGCCTTATTATATATAAGCACGTACCTCCTGTTCTTCCTCTTGTCCTTGTACCTCTGCTTAGCCTCCTCCCTCTTCTCCTGCAGCTTGGTTCTTGCCTCCATGTCTCGGCTTGATCCTTGCACTGGCACCGGCACCGGCACCGAGGACGCCGCCTGCTGCTGCAGAGGCGCGTCCTGGTCTTGGTGGAGGACCGTCGTGCTGCCTAGCGCCGCCGGCGCCAAATGCTCATCAATACCCAAGTGCCTGCTTGGGAACTCGTCCGAAGGCCACATCGGCAAGCCGCTGTTGAAGAATTTGCATGGTTGAGGAGGAAGTTGGTGAGGAGGACGAAGAAGCCAATCCGGGTTTGGCGTCTTGCCTTGTTGAAGAGAAAGTTGCTGGTGAACAGGAGTAAGCAGATCCAGCTGGTATGGCGTCATGCTGGTGCTCGTGTTTGCAGCAGTGCTCATCACTGAATTGCGGAGCCGGAAAGCTGCATTGTTGCCGGTAAGAGATTCCATAGCATGATCAGTAGAAGATCGGGTTACGGTTTCCGAAGAATATGATGATGATGGGTTTAACGGCTGAGGATCAGCATCATAACCCGACGATGACGACCACCACGCCGCCTCTGGCTACAGTACCGAACAATTGGATGAGTAGCTATGTACCAGCAGAAAATGTGTAACGACTCATGCAACATTCATCGCATTACATATATATATAGCAGGAGGCATTTGGCACTACACCTATTTGGCACAACCCCAGTTCCAAGATTTTTACCATCCTAAGATAAATCAACTGTTATTAGAATCGTCCTAAATCATCAAACTATTTTAAGTTTGATCAAGTGTATAGAAAAGAGCAACAATTAATATCTAAGACACCAAAACGAGTATATCGTGAAAATATATTTCATGGTACATGTAGTGATACTAATTTGGCAGTGTAAATACCAGTGCTCTTTTTCGATAAATTTGGTCAAACTTAAATACAGGTTGACTTAAAACAATATCTGTTTTAGGACGAAAAAAATATTTTCATTTTTTTTATTGAACCTAACCAAAGGTTGAAACCACATTAGTTTATCATTGAAACTCCATATTCTCCTTAAATCTTGAAGCCAAAGCTCTGCCAAATAGACCTAGTATAACAATTTAGGTGAACTTGTGTAGTGAACCATGATTATTTATTTTTAAAACAAATCACATAGGAGACATTAGTTTATCATTGAAACTCCATATTCTCCTTAAATCTTGAAGCCAAAGCTCCGCCAAATAGACCAGTATAACAATTTAGGTGAACTTATTTTTAAAACAAATCACATAGGAGAGCTGCCGACTAAATTAAAAAATCCATATATATAATAACCTAAAGGGTCAAAACCAACAATGACGACAACTATAGCGAATCAATGGCGATGATACTGAACACTGAATAATTCAGAATACGGGAGCATTGGCTATATATGCATATATACCTCGTCAATGAGCGAGTTTACCAGGGGCGCGGTCAAGCTCCAGTCGTCGACGAAGTTGAAGTCGTCCAGTAGCCCACCAGCACCAGCTGGGTCTTCGGGGAGGTTGTTGTACCAATCGGGGTAGTCTTGTGTGAAGAGACCAGCATCTCCTTCGCCGCCGCCGGTCGGTAGGGCCGCCGCCGCTGCTGGCACGCCGTCGGCAACCGCTGCTGCCCCGTCGCCGGCCACCGCCTGCTTTTGAAAGTTGCCCCCGGTTTCGATGAGACTGCTTGATGGCAACTAGTAGTACGCACACCAAAGGTAAAAGAGACAAACTTGCAGCGAAGATCTGTTGCCTGAAGGTAGGCAGTGATCCAACCACAAGGGAAGGAGAAAAACGCAAGAAAGAGAGATGTGTCAGTTGCATCTCAATTGGCCTGGCCCTTTCTTCAAATCAAGGCTTTCTGTTTGAGATCCGAAATTGTTGTCATTATTAGTTTAGTCATCAAACTAAACGACCAAGACAAACATTTTTAAAAAAAAAAAAGAATCAGAGTATCAAACTAGCAAATGCAAGCAGTATGTAGGTACCTCGTTCATCATAATGCGTTGTTCGTCGCAAGATCTGCTGCTGCCGGGCAAATCTGTTGGCTTCAGTTCGACGTTGAGTAGGTCAGGGACCCACGTGTCTGGAGGCTTCTGCGGCGGTGGCGGCGGCGTCAAAGGCGGCGGCACCTCGCCGCGCGGAGCGTCAATGTAGAGGATGCGCGCGAGGTCGGCGGGGTCCGGGAACCCGGTGTAGGAGCGCGTCGGGCTCCAAGCGTGGCCCTCGGCATCGCACCCGGCGGCACGCGTGCAGTGCGCGCAGAGGAAGGCCCGGTGGACAGCGCAGCGCGCGGCGGCGGCCGCGGCGTGGCATCCCTCGCAGAGCGGGGCGCGCTCGTGGGCGCCCGCGGTGGCGGCGTGCACAGGGACGTCACAGAGCAGGCACAGGCGCGCGCCGTGCTGGGCGCAGTGCAGCAGCGCGCGCTGCGCGGCGCAGTAGTCGCAGGGCACGCCGCCGCCGTCGTCCGGGGCCATGGTGTCGTCCGCCGCGCCCGCGGCAGCTGCAGCAGCAGGTGCAGATGGCCACCCGTCGTCCCGCGCCGCCCCCGCCGTACAACATGGTGCGCCGCCGGCCGGCCGGCCGGCGGCGAGGGTGGAGTTGGAGGGGTCTCTCGTATTCGCAGCACGGTGGTGGGGATCCGTCGAGGGGGGTGGTTTGGTTGGTGGCTTCGTACGTGCGTGCGGCGCTGACGATGGCGGCGGCGGCACGACTCGAGGTCGAGGCTGGTTAGGTCGCAGTGTGTATCTATCTATATATAGAAGTCAGCAGCCACCACCATATATATAGGGCCGAAAATTTAAAATACGATCTGAGCTGCGGCGTATTATTCGGTCAAACCCGAGCTGTCCAACAATAATTTCAAAAAAAATGAGTGTAGATTTTAAAAACTCTTAGAAATGATCATTTTTTTTTGTGAGTTGACACCACCGACATAGTACATATTAATATTAGGGCGTCGGTAACTTCTAAAAAAAATGTTCAAGCCATTTATCCACCTTACTTTTTCAGTAAAAAAATAATATTTTCTTCTTACAACGAATCAACGAACAATACTTTTCAATCTGGCTTTTCAGCAAAGCGAACAGACGAAACGTCGACAGTAACTTTCACTTTTTTAGGCAGTAACTACTTTCAATTTGATATTTATATAAACGTGCTTGAAAGAAACGAAAACGTCCACAAGCAAAGATACGCGGACGACCGCAAACTGCGGAAAATAATATGCATGCAGACGACCGCTACTCGTGCAAAAATACGATCTTGCACGTGGCCTTTTCTTTCGCACGCTAAGCAATGGCGGCGACGGTTTGCCACGCCGTCACTGGAGCCGGAATTGGATTTACTACGGCTACCGGACAGCGTGCGCCGGTATCCCCAATTGCAACTTCTCGTGGGCGTCACGCGCCTCGGCCAAGTAAATTAATCAGGAGTAATCTTTTTCAAAGGAAATTAGGAGTAGTAATTACTAACCGCATCCGCATCTCTAACATTTTATCTACTCGCAATCTTATATTTTCAACCCAACGAAAGAGGACGAAAAAAAATTATATCCAACTATTTCTTATCCTAAAAAAGCATCTCCAATAGTTCATAGAAGAACAATTAGTAAATTAGTGAGTTTTTCAAGTTGTAAAAAAAGTAGGAAGCATATTTGTTAGCTTTCTCCAACCATTTTTAATATCTTGCTTCTAAAAGTTAGAAGCCAATTTTGCATCACCGAATTATTTTTAAATCACCTCATCCACTTTTATACTCTCTCTGTCCATGAAAGAATACAACTATGGATTACTTGCCACTTAAAGTGACGAGGACATGACACCTACGGATATGCCCATAAAAGTAAAAGACAAGATGAGGCCGGTCCTATGTTTGTACCAACGAAAGTAAGAATTTGTGGCTACCTAATGTTGTTGCTTTCAATATGCTTAGGAACAATGATGACGATGATGTAAACTTGGGAAAGACACTTTCTATGGCCTCTACAACAAATGGGACATCGATACAACATGCACAAGATCGATCATGGAGTTTAGGCTCAACAAAGTCCAACATTCGGTAAGTCGCCGGCTCAACAGTGCTTCATTGGGAAGGTCATAACTCATCCATCCGGAGTGTGATTGACGTCAATGAGCACTTGATGGAAAGCTTGTTTGATAAGCTTTCAAATAGATCTAGTCTCATGCCAATATCACGTTGGCAAGGTCTTCAACTCATCAACACATATTGTCATTGTTTCTATCGGGTGGTACGACGTCATCATGGGCTTGTTGTTAACAGTTGGGACCCTGGCCCAAGTTAGAGCACGTTCCAGGAACATGGATAAGACACCAAGGAAGCCCTTGGACGTCCACCTCCTTGGCCACGCCCTTAGGAGGCCGGCAAGGGCGTCCAAGCCAAGCCAGAGGTCTAGTCCAACTCGAGGTCGAGTCTGCCTCAGCCTTCAGGAGCAGCCTGCAGTAAAACAAACACCCAGGACGCATCCGGACCCCATTTTTGACGATCCACATATGGACAGAAAGCTAATTTCATAAGATAACCAATAATTTTTGTTTGAAGTGTAAATTCCACCGGACTCAACTGTAATCATCGAAACAAGTCAGCATCCAGAATCTGTCAAGGTGTTGTGTCACCGTCTTTTGGTCCGTTGGGCCGTATATCGTCTTAGAGCCCGATAGGGACGTGTCCAAGGGGCGACGGACCTTAATCATCAGTAGTAGCCGCCCATGTTATGGTTTGAGTTTTGCTTTAGACCAATCTGTCTTTGAACAGTCTCCGTTATCGGTTTGTGAAACCCCACATTCGAGTGCTTAATCATACATCCACAATTGCCACTATACTTGAGTTCCGTTTTATCTTGTTCTTACTTGTGTTCTTCAATTCATAGCAGGGATTAGTCTTCTTGGTGAGGTCAACCGGATTTTAACACTGTTGATAATCAGAGGAGATGTGGTTCTATGGTCGTTGCAGGGTTCAGGTCTTTGTGATCTAAAGCCGGATCGGTTTGTCACTCTCCACTAAATCGATAGTTATTTCGAACCTGACGGATGATCGAGAACCCCGGCCCCATCATAAAGTGGTTCACGTTTGACCAAGTTTCTATCTAAGAGTATTCATATTTATGGCTCCAAATCAATTTATTATGAAAATATATTTTGTAATTAATCTAATGATATTTATTTGATATCCTAAATATTGATATTTTTTAATCTATAGTTAGTCAAACTTAAGATACTAAAATATATATAAGACTATGCTAGAATTGCATTCTTTCTTGGACGGAGGGAGTAATTTCTTTCTCTTTTTGCATATTTGCATTTGGATCTCCTCTTTCTTCTTGTTCTTCCCCCACATCCTTTCACCTCTGGATCCGTCCATTGGATACGCGCATATCTTTCCATGTGATTGATCAACTTTCAATGCGAAAATATTGGGAGTTAAGATAAAGAATTATTGGAGAGAGTGGTTCTCTTAGTGATGTTGTTAGAGCATCTCCAATAGTTAACGAAACAATTGAAAGGTCCTAAATGGCTAAAGGGGGGTGAATAGCCTAATTAAAAATCTACAAAGCACTAGAGCAAACTTGGTTAGATAACTAAAAGGCTATAAAGCAATTTTGCTCTAGCTCTACAAAGCGTGAAGCAAGCCACCTACCGAATGCTAGTTGCTATGATCTCTATATCACACACAACCAACCAAACTATGTCTCTACTTCTACGACTAGCGTGCTAACTAAAATCAAGATACAACTAAATACAACTACCTACCACAACTAGCAAGGCAAGAAACAAGCTCTCTACATAATATATGTACTAGAAAGGTAAAGAGCAAGTGTAGGAGCGATACCAAACCAGCAAGAGATAAATCAATCACAAGAATACCGAGATGACACAATGATTTATCCCCGAGGTTCGTTTGTTTGCCAACAACCTACGTCCTTGTTGTGATGACACACTCACTTGGTAGCTCACGCGCTAATAGGCATCACACATCTAGCCCTACACAAGGGCGTCGTAAGAACCAACACAAGAGAGGGTACTCAATGCCACAAGCAATCCACTAGAGTTGCCTTTTGTGAATCTCTCACGGGGAAGGCACAAGAACCCCCTCACAATCACCATGATCGGAGCTGGAGACAAACACCACCCTCCGCTCAATGATCCCACTGCACCAAGCCATCTAGGTGGCAGCAACCACCAAGAGTAACAAGAATCCTGCAGCTCGATCACACGATCACTAGTGCCACTAGATGCTCCAACTCTAAGCAAATGCACTATGGATCACCTACCAATCTCACTTGAATGATGAATCAATGAAGTAGATGAGTGGGAGGTGTTTCACAAGGCTCACAAGGGAGTATCAATGTTTCACAATGCCAAGAGAGTGAGCAAGAGCCGGCCAACACTTTTTAATAGAGCCCCAAAGCTCAAGTAGTCGTTAATCCCCTCACTGTGCTTTCCACGGGGGCATCGGACAAGAGTACTGTTCACATCGGACAAAATCCACAGTGTCCGATGTATCGCTCGTTGACACGTGTACTAGCCATTTGATTGTAGCTGTTGCCGCCCAACGGTCGAGTCCACGCCCTGTTGTCCGATGGTACATTGGACAAATGCGTCGCCAGTGTCCGATGCGCTCCAGAGACATTCTAGAGAGCACCCAGAGCCATCGAACGCGTTCGATGAGCCACATCCTCGGACAAACATCCAGCGTCCAATGCTCTTTGACTGACTTGGTCCACGGATGAACAGTTTCAACATTTTGTCCGATGCTCCTTCACGCCAATGTCTGATGTCTACGCTTCATGTCCAAAGAATTATTTGCTCAAACAGAGAGCACCCAATTCACATTGGACACAAGCATCATTTGTCCGATGCCCTATACTCCAGCGTCCGATGTTGCTACAAAGTCTCTGCCGCCTTAGCGTTTGACATCAGACACAAGGAAGATTTGTCCGATGCCTGCGGATGTTGTGTCTGATGCTCCCTGAGTTTCTCCTTCTCTTCCAAGACTTCAACCCATGTGAAATGTGCTACCTCCAAGTAGTTATTCTGAGCACTCTTGTTTATACATTGAATGCTTGCATGCTGTGATGTTTGACAACTATGAAACAATTTCAGTAGATAAGGTTTTGGCTATGCATCGTTTCTCTACAAAGGTTTTATGGACTAATTCAACAATACCAGTCACATATTAGCTAGAATGTATGGTTTTAAAATAGACATTTACATGCAAGAAACAAAGATTGTTCCCTGTTTCTATTTTTTCTTTGGTTTCTTGCTTAAAATCTCTCAACATTCTTCTACAAGTTTATAGTTGCTGATTTTGATGTGCTGGAAAAAAATTGCGCGATGAGACAATATTAGATTAGTATAAATAACAATTTGAGAATTTGCATGGTTTCGGTTCTAGCCCGACAGTAGTTGTGCAATAGCAGGGCAGTCACAATGACTTTATTTGTACTACAGCTTGATTT